AAGCTTCAGACTGAACTGAAGCAGCGGCTGCTGACGTCATTACGCTCTTGCGCGATGCTGCGTTCAGGACAAGCATGAAAAACTCACCACTCTATGCCAATACAGTCGCAGTGATGCATTTAGGTACCGAAATGAAATTGCATGAACATTCATGTGATGGTTATGTAATAGAGCGAATCAATAATAAAAAAATCTGCATCGACAAAATTACATAATCGACGTCATCAATTATTTCAACTAATCGGTGCAGCCTTACTTGTGACGTCCACGGCCTACCCCAGTTACCACTACTGTGCATGTGTGTCAAGGATAGAAAGGCAGATGTGGCAGTGGAAGGTGTCAAAGCAGTTTGGAGAGAAAAACAAAGTAAAGAACAAAAAAAAAAGAAAACGATTAATCGATTATTAAATTAGTCATCAATTATTTTAATAATTGATTAGTTGTCGATTAATCGATTAATCGTAGCAGCCCTACTGCAGGCAGGCCAGTTTAGTACATTCACTCTTTTTACTCCGAAGCTACGCTGTTGTAACACATGCAGAATGTGGCATCACAACTTTACTGGAATTGGGGTTGTAGGAGTGCTCAGATTGCTATGCTCCTTAATTTTTGTTTGTTTGTTTGTTTTCTTGCTTGTTTGTTTTTAATAACTGGGGTGATCAACGCACACAACTCATAAATTTCTGTCAAGGTGTTTGTTTTATTTTGGGTTGATTTTCAGGAATGAATTAAAAAGATTTGGGGAAAAATGTGTTTTTGAACACTAAATGGTATATTTATAGATATATTTAATGAATATGGGTTTTAGTCAATCCACACCTAACCCAAGTTACAGAATCAGCTTGTAGAAAAATCCCAAAACAGATGTTTATAATATACAAACATATAAAAAACTGTAGACGAGCTCAAACAACTGATTTGCACTTTGACCAAGACACTAGAGTGCAGTAAAATGCAGTTGTTCCCTTATAGCAACCGTTATAGGAAGTGTAGTATCAAGATTCATACCCAGGGACAGGTGGGTTAAATAGGGGGGTGTCAGCTCTGTCTGGTCTCCCTCAGACACTCCATACGCAGCAAACTAGTCCACCTGAGAGCTTGTAGAAATTGGAATAGGTGTAAATAAGATGGCTGTCAGGCCTGTCAGAGGCTGACACACACAGACAGCTTCAGTCACAACACACACACACTCAGCTGGACTCACACAGGTGTTAGTGATATACACTCTTGAACACAAACACACACACCGACCTTTGTGCAATAGACAGACATAGTTTAAGTGACAGGCAGACAGTCTCACACTCACGCTTGCACAGATACACACCTTCAAAGGGTTGGAGAGACAGGGCCTAAGTGACAGAGGGACAGACAGTCTCAAACAAACATGGAAAAGACACCTGTAAGTGATGGATACACACACACACACACACACACACACACACAGCCAGCTCAC